ACCTCTGCGCTTATTGAACACAGTCAGAGCAATGAGCACATTTTGTCAGTGAACACAATACCACAACAAACCGCAATGAAAGGCCACTGCGAGAGGGCGAATGAAGCTTCCATGAAGCTATGTTCTCAGCTAAAAGTCGTGTTTCACATGGCTAAAAACGACATTGCAGGTAATCAGTATGCAGGGTTGACTGAGCTACTACGAGAAGTGAAGGCTCCTGATTTTGTCACAGGTGATGGAATTTACCGGCACGGTGATTCCGTTGATGACATGGAAAAGGCCATAGATGAAGTCCTGATTAAGCAGCTGGACGAAAAACTAAAGAAGAGTGACTTTATCGGAATAATCATTGACGAGACGGTTAATATCACTGTGGACAAAAAGCTGATAATATACGCCAAGTTGCAAATTAAAGGAAAAGTGGAGACGTGTTTTTTGGGAAACTATGACGTGCACTCCGGGACAGCACAGTGTATATTTGACAAGGTGGATGAGGTGCTCCGCGAGAGGGATGTGAAACTGTCAAGCGTCATTGGCCTGGGCTCAGAGGGGGCTAGTGTAATGATGGGCAAACGTGCTGGAGTTGGTGCTCTTCTGAAGAGAGAGAGTGCGTTTTGCATTCAGGTGCACTGTGTTGCCCACCGAGTTGCGCTGGCCGCGATAGATGCTGCAAAAGCTGTGGACCAAGTAGGAGTTTACAAGCGCACAGTATCCTCTGTGTACTCATTTTACAAGCACTCAGCCAGCAGGACCAATCGCCTCCGTCAAATGACAGCAGCGCTCGGGGATGAAGATGTGAAAAGCCTAAAGCAGCAGTGCGCTGTCCGCTGGTTATCCTTGCACAGGGCAGTGGAGGGTATCAAGCTAAACTGGCCTGCTCTGGTGATGGAGCTACATGAAGAGGCTGTTGGAGGAAATGCCCAAGCAAAAGGCATCCTTGGTCAAATCCAGCCATACTGCTTTATCGCCTGGACTCACGCACTGGCTGATGTGCTACCTGTTATGACCAAACTTAATTTGGTTTTCCAGAAAGAGGATGTCAATCTGGCCACAATCCGACCAATGGTTCACGCATCAGTTGCGGCACTCACACAGTTGAGGGATTCCCCCGGTCCCGAAGAAGAGAGGTTTCAGGCAGATTGCCAAAATGGCATGTACAGGGATGTGAATGTGACACACGCAGATGACCGGTCCCGGCAGGCTTTCAGTAATGTCCGCGTACGCTACATTACACATCTTATAGATGCTTTACACAACCGCTTTCCTGAAGAGTCCCTGAGTATTATCACTAGCTTTGACGTCCTTCTGAACCCATCCCGATACCCAAATGCACAAAGTGGTAAGTATAGGCCTTCCTAAAATTGTGTCACAAGTTATTTAAATGTGTTTATTTGCGTTACATAAAACAATTCATTATTTCTCCGTCCCTTCAGCGCTTCAAATATACGCTGAACCAGCCCTCAAAACCATTATTGGTCATTTTGGCCAAGGGATTGCCAGTGAGGATGACTCGGCGCAAGCCAGTGCCCCTCTCATTGATGCCACAAGCGCCCACAGAGATGCCATCCCCGTGATGACAGCGCTCCGCGGATACGGAGGCTTGCATTTCTTAACGGCTTGCGAAGTCCTCGTAAGAGATTTAGGCAACATCTATCCTGAGTGGGCCACACTGGCCAAGATAGCATGCGTGATCCCTGTCTCCAGTGTGCCGGCAGAGAGAGGATTCTCTCTACAGAACAGAATCAAAACAGCGCAGCGAAGTCGGCTTGGCGAGAACAAGGTCACACGGCTCATGCGCATTGCCAGTTGTGGAGAGACACTCGGGACCTTTGATTTTGAATCCGCAGCTACCCACTTCACAGGTCTGAAAAAGCGTAGAAAGTAGGCTAAAACATCATAAGCTAGGCATTTTGCTCTAGTTTTGTCAAAGAGTTTGTGTTACAATTTGTTTAAAGGCTATTTGATAACAAGTCGGCAGCTGCGAGCCTTTATTAAAATGCTCACGACGGGCCATACTCTTTTAGTTTGTGAACAAATAATAATTATTATGTTTTATTTTATCCGACTATATGTAGGTCTACAGCTGAATAACATGGGTTTTTTGTTTATTATATTATGGCTTGCGTAATATAGGCTATATTTATTTATTTTCCGTTACGCACGATATTGACAGAACTTGTTTGAACTTTTATTAAAAGTCACTTTTCAATAAAAGATACATCTGAATGCCTTGATTATTTCATCCTTAATATAGAGTTGTTATCAATTTGTTTTAAAGCTCAATAACAAAGAAGACCTTTGACCGGGAAATTTCGAATTTGTCCGGAAGATTTAAATCCTAACGGACATGGTGACCGGCACACATTTTTTCTAACGGGAACTCTGTCCTCCGCCCACATTTAACAGCCTTTGTATCCATGTGTCAGCAGAAAGAGCTTTTTACTGGTCTCTGAACAGCACACACCAGAGGACATGAGACTCAGGGATGATGTGAAGAGTTGGGTTTATAGAGGGGAAGGTGAAGAAGCTGAGATTTAGTGTGGGAAAGAAACCAGACCATTTACATGCACTAAAACCTACAGGAAAGGAAAAGCCCCCAAAAGCAGAACAGGGCCTCGTTAAAGCACATTTGATGAATGAAATGTACACTTCCTGAGTCTGTTAAGGGTCTTATAAATGTCTTGATACACACCTCTCAATAGAAAATAAAGACACAACAAGATCAAAGGTGAACGCATCACGACAACGTTGTAATTTACCTTCAACAAATACTCATTTTTACAAAAAAAAGAGCCTGAACGCATCGTAATGCGTCTCTACTTTTGATTTGAGATGCAGCTTCTCTCAGACATCATGGATCACATGGTGTCCGACAAACCAAAACAGACTGTATAATATCTTCTGAGTCGTGTGTCTGGGTGCCGTTTGATTAAAATACAACCTATAATATCTCATATATGCGACACACTGAGGCGCCTGCAGGTCTCTCTGAGGCTTCAGGAGGTTTCTAACGAACACTAAACCATGACAGGAGTTCTCAAAGCAGCTAGTTTGAATGACTTTGTATAATTTACTCCAGGTGGAACTAAAGTTAAGTCATATAAATAAACCCACCTTTACCAATTGACATTCATGCATTAGTAATAATTATCATACCAACGTGTTGTATTTTTAAATCTGATATGGGCCATACTGGAAACTTTAACTATATTTTGATGCTGATACTTTTCTACTTTTACTTGAGGAACATTTTGAATGGAGGATTTTTACTGTAACAGAGTATTCCTACACTCTGGTACTTCTACTTTTACCCAAGTACAAGATCTGAGTACTTCTACTTTTACACAAGATCTGAGTACTTCCACTTTTACTCAAGATCTGAGTACTTCTACTTTTACTCAAGACCTGAGTACTTCTTCCAGCTCTGCTCATCCCACTTGATCTGTTTCTGTGAAGTATTTCTGTGCTCAATATTTCGGAGTTTCCAGGAATCAGCTGACCAGAGGAGCTGTAAAGCTGTGATGAAGCAGCTGTGTCTCCCCCCCCCCCCCAACACACGGACATTACACAGGCTAAATCCAGCAGGGTTACAATGGAGAACCAGACACCACGCTGTAAGGAAGCATGCCCACAGAGTGCTGTTATTTTGGGATTCACACTCCTGCAGTAACTCTGGATTCTGCTGCAGCTTTTATCACGTTGTTAGATAATGGGCTCCTGTCAGGCTTTAGTGTTCCTTAGAAATCTCCTGAAGCCTCAGAGAGACCTGCAGCCGCCTCAGTGTGTCACATATATGAGATATTATAGGTTGTATTTAATCAAATGGCACCCAAACACACAACTCAGATGATCCAGCATTTTGGACTTTTACTGTAACAGAGTATTCCTACACTCTGGTACGCCTACTTTTACTCAAGTACAAGATCTGAGTACTTCTACTTTTACTCAAGTACAAGATCTGAGTACTTCTACTTTGACTGAAGTACAAGATCTGAGTACTTCTACTTTTACTACAAGATCTGAGTACTTCTACTTTTACTCAAGTACAATATCTGAGTACTTCTACTTTTACTACAAGATCTGAGTACTTCTACTTTTACTCAAGTACAATATCTGAGTACTTCTACTTTTACTCAAGTACAATATCTGAGTACTTCTACTTTTACTCAAGTACAAGATCTGAGTACTTCTACTTTTACTCAAGCACAAGACCTGAGTACTTCTACTTTTACTACAAGATCTGAGTACTTCTACTTTTACTCAAGTACAATATCTGAGTACTTCTACTTTTACTCAAGCACAAGACCTGAGTACTTCTACTTTTACTACAAGATCTGAGTACTTCTACTTTTACTCAAGTACAATATCTGAGTACTTCTACTTTTACTCAAGTACAAGATCTGAGTACTTCTACTTTTACTCAAGCACAAGACCTGAGTACTTCTACTTTTACTACAAGATCTGAGTACTTCTACTTTTACTCAAGTACAATATATGAGTACTTCTACTTTTACTCAAGTACAAGATCTGAGTACTTCTACTTTTACTCAAGCACAATACCTGAGTACTTCTACTTTTACTACAAGATCTGAGTACTTCTACTTTTACTCAAGTACAATATCTGAGTACTTCTACTTTTACTCAAGTACAAGGTCTGAGTACTTCTACTTTTACTCAAGAACAAGATCTGAGTACTTCTACTTTTACAAGATCTGAGTACTTCTACTCAAGTACAAGATCTGAGTACTTCTTCCACCTCTGGGGATGAAGGAGTGTGTTTTTATTATCATACCTTTCACCTCCTTGTATCTATTAACCTGATAACATGTTATATTTCGCTGCGTGTACCTTTTAAAGTTCTTAACAAATAACCTGAGGGGAACTTCTTGTTGTTTGTTTTTAACTTGTGATGTGTCATTTTGTAAAGCACTTTGAGCTGCACGTGTTGTATGAAAGGTGCTATATAAATAAAGCTTTATTATGATGTATTATGTTCTTACCCACGGAGGCAGATCTGAGGTGTTGGTGCTCTGCTTGAAGCCCCTCTCCTCCTCCTGCTCGAACAGATCCAGAGCTCTTCTGATGCGGCTGTGTTTCCCTCCAGAGTTCTTCCTCCACATGAAGAACATCACAAGTCCGATCAACAGCCAGCTGAAGCTAAACTCGAAATATCCCAGTGCGTAGATGGGGAAAATAATCACAAAGGTTTTGGCGACGTGCATCCAGGTGTGTGTGAGCTCGTGTGTGGCAGACAGCAGGGGGTCCGAGGGTGGGATTATTGCATGCCCATTCTCCTTAGTAGGGGAATGGACTCCTGTGTCCGTCATGCTGTCCTTAGAAGATGTCTCTGAGCTCCAAAGTGTTTTTAAAAATAAGGTTTTTTTGGTAACACCATGTGCTCTCACGTTGGCTCCCCCGCGCACGAGCCCATTGTCTCGCGGGGAATCGATGGCATTGAGCCCCTTTTAGTGACCAGAATACATTCCCTTAGGTTCAAACGCACAGCTGATCCAGTCCGCGGCTCCTCTCTCTGCCTCCTCTCGGGTTAAATGCTGCTTTCACAAAAACGCACAGGGATCATATCACTGAGTGCTCCCAGCCTGATAGAGAGGGGAAACACTGACACCTGGTGGTCATTAGAGGTAAACACAGCCTGGTTTTATTTAATAACTACTAAGCCACTTTTTTATTACAAGAATATTCAACATGTTGTATGAAAATAAATGCAATTAATGTAATATTCTGATATGTGGATACGACTGTTTATCTATGCTTGTTTATGATTGGTCCATGTGATGTGATGCAGTGAAAGTAGTGAGCAGCCAGACATATTGTATGAAGTAAAACATGTTATTAAAAACATTAAGAACAAAAATGGTGTATTTAACAAATATGAAATATGAAACTGTATTTTTATTTATTTACTTTATGTTATTTTGTATTACTCTATATGTCTAACCCAGATTTAAACTTGTTTGTATACACAATATATGATCTTGAATAAATAAAAGGACAAAAAACAACAAGAAAAACATATTGTATGCATTAATAAATACAGAATATAGCACGTCATCTGGAATATTAATTACAGTATAAGAACAAGACAATTTACAGGCAGAAATGTTAGATACATTAATAAAAAAGTGGAATAAAAAACATGGTTTCTAATTACATTATTATCACAAGACAAACACAGCGGTGCCGAAAGCCCTGATAAAGAGGGAGAAACAGCGCCACATGGAGGTCATTAGTGGTAAACACAGCCTGGTTTTATTATTTATTATTTTAAGTCGTCGAGGTAGCTATTTAAGCTACAAAAAACAATGACAAGTGTTAGCTTACCTGTGTGAAAAGTTCGTTTTCTGAGATTCCTGCTGACAACGGCCCTCTTGCTCGGCTACATCTTTATAAATCCATGTGAAGTAGTTTGTCAAATAAGAAATGAAGCATTTAAATCGGCTGTATTTTAAACAAACCGCTATCTTTTTTAGAAAGCTTGGTATTCAAATTCCAACGGTTAAAATAGGAAAGGTTTGTGATCTCGAGCACAGAGAAATAGATAAACAGACAGATTTTTACATGAAGCAGATTTTTAAATGAACCCACAAGTTAATCAATGTTATTATAATGCTTTAACAACAACATTTTAATACGGTCTGTTAAAAAGAAATACACATTTCATAAAGTCAATAACCTGCCATATTAATTCACCGTTGGCATGGAAACTGCTGTTGATTCACTGGATCTGGATCGCTCTGATGTCGACTGTCAATCCTGTTGCCATGCTAAACTGACGCGTTCTCCTTGGTTTCGATGAACTGCGCATGCGTACAACAGATGAACCATCATGGCGGCGTCGTTACAAAAATATGAGTTGCTTTCCGGCGTTTAAAATACTTAAAACATATATATAAATACATGAAAACATGAGTAGTGACAAGGTAAGTGCTTTAGCTTTGAGTTTAGCGTATACAGGTTTATATAGGTCATGTTTTTGTTCTGTAAAATGTCGTGTAAGTGCTGGTAAATGTTTGTTATGAAACAGAAATGTTAGTTTTCTGTGGAAATTAACGGATTGTTTTGGGGTTTTGCCATTAAAATAGCTTAATGTGTTCCAATGGATGTTAATAATGGCATCCAGTGACAAAACATCTATTGTTTTTTTAGAAAATAACCAAGGAAGACACATGGAAACCAGCTGAACTGAGAAAACACATCAGGGTGAGATTTGCTTTGCTTTTTACATATTATTGTTAACATGTATGTTAAATGTCTTCTTTTTGAGCCACATGATCGTTAACATCTTTGTTTACTGTATTTTGTTGTTGTCACATACCTAGCTTTTACCTGAGGATTTAATAATAATAATAATAATACATTTTATTTTAGGCGCCTTTCATGACACCCAAGGACACCGTACAATTTGTTAAAAAAAGAAAACGCTAATAGGCAACAGAACATGATAAAAACACAAACAGGAAAGCATGGAGGAGACAGTCAAGTGGACACAAATGAAACATATAATGGGGAGCACTACAGTGAGTAGGCAGATTTGAACAGATGGGTTTTTAATTGGGATTTGAATATGGTGATTGTGTCTGACTGTCGGATGTGCGGGGGGAGGGAGTTCCAGAGTCTGGGAGCAGTGCAGCTAAAAGCCCGAGCACCCATGGTGACGAGGCGTGGGGTGGGGACGGTTAGCAGACCAGCAGAGGAGGAGCGGAGGGAGCGAGAGGGGGTGTACTCCTGAAGAAGGTCAGCCAGATAGGGGGGCCAGAACGGGGAGCCAGTGGAGTTGGATGAGGATGTGGGTGATGTGTTCTGAGGCCTTGGTGCCGGTGATGATCCGGGCTGCAGAGTTCCCTATGATTTGTAGTTTATTGATGAGCTTGGTGGGTATGCCTGAGAGGATGGCGTTACAGTAGTCGATGCGGGACGTGACAAATGCATTGACCAGGACTTCAGTGTTTGATTGAGAAAGGGATGGGCGGAGTCTGGAGATGTTGCGTATGTGGAAGAAGGCAGTCCGGGTGATGTTATTTATGTGAGGTGAAAATGAGAGGGAGCTGTCCAGGATGACACCAAGGCTCTCAACTTGGCCTAATTTAATGCTAGCTTTTACCTGAAGATTAATGCTAGCTTTTACCTGAGGATTAATGCTAGCTTTTACCTGAGGATTAATGCTAGCTTTTACCTGAGGATTAATGCTAGCTTTTACCTGAGGATTAATGCTAGCTTTTACCTGAGGATTAATGCTAGCTTTTACCTGTGGGGGGGACAGGAGAAAAATGCCATTCTGAAAACACCCTTTTCTACAATTGAATTGACATTGTGTCTAAGGACATCTAACACAACAGGTGCATATTTTGGCATTTTCAGCATATGACATTTCATAGGTGGGACAGAGAATGTCCTCCAATTCTGGAATGACTTATAAACTGATTAATCTTTTTGTTTTTCCAGGAGGGAGGACATGTTGATAACAATGTCCGGAGGCGAGATGATAGTGAGAGAAGGCAACGTGGAGGAGAATCTGTAGAAAGAACTCGAAGAGACCCAGAGAAGGAAACTAGACGAGAGAAAGACAAGCTGAGGGAGAGGAGAGATAAAGAGGAAATAGACAAATATGCAGATCGAAGGAAAGAGGGATCAAGGGATAGAAGAAGTGAAAGAGATAGGAAAGAAGAGACGAGAAGAGACAAGGTGGTAGATGGAAAGAGGTACGATGAAGACAAGGAGAGACACAGAGATAAGGAGGACATGGACAAAAGGAGGGAAGACAGAGACAAGGAAAAACGAAGAGAAGAACGAGACGAGAGGAAAGAGAAGGAGAGATGGAGACATGAGGAAGGTGGAGAAGGAGAAACAGAACGGAGAGAGAAGCAGGATCGAGAGAAAAGAGACCGCCATCGAGAGAGAGACAAAGACGAAGACAAGAGGAACGACAGAGAGAGACGAGAGAGGAAGCATGTGGAAGTGAAGGAGGACGGAGGTAAGGTTGCATCAATGTGAACACATAACGCTTTAATCACAGGACGACTGTTTACATTTCACTTTCTGATTTCAGAAAACAGAGACGAGCAGAGGAGACGTAGAGAGGAGAGAGAGAGGAGGCACAAAGAGAGAGGGAACCATGTGAGTATCTGCAGGGAAACTAGTGCATGTAGAAAATAAAATAAAATCATTAAAAGGCCCTATTCTGCTTTGCATGGTGTTCCCTCTGCTGTAACGTAGGTTTTGAGTGCATGTAAATGGTCTGCAAAGGCTACAATCTCAAAGACATCACAAATATCCTTGTAGTCGTATATAATATTGGATAGGTATATCTCCAGTGGACGACACAGACACATAGAACAAGGCACACTGAGATGATAAGGCAGAGGACAGTCAGTGGGTGGTGGAGTCCGCTCGGCTCTAAGTATATAATACAATAATAAAAGTATATTCAATTTACAAATAAAACAGGATGCCAACACATCCTGTTTTATTTCAAGTGATCCTCGTCAGTCGTGGTTCTGCTTCACAGAGTTTGGTTCATACAGGAAAGTGACTCAGCTCTTCCATTAGTATGTACTTGATTCTTTGCTTTCCTTCTAGGACGAAAAGCGAAAGCACGACAGCAGATCCAGAGAGCATCGAGACGTGAAGGAAGTCGTGGAAGAGGTCAGAGGTCATGGAGGTGACAGAGAGCGAACAGAACGGGATAAAAACAAGGAGAGGAAACACAGAGAGGACGAAGAACCGGAGAGAAATCATCGCCGAGACCCGACCAGCTCCAGGAAATCTGACAAAGCGTCGGACAAAAGTCATGACGCTAAAACTGAGGTGTGTAAAACCCGTATAATATATATAACCATTTTATTTGAGTTGATGGTTCCCCAAGAGATTGAATGTCTGTTTTCCCTCCATGTGTCAGGATAAGGCAGCGGTACGGGACCTGAGAGCCACAGCAGAGCCTGTAAGAAGTTCATTTTTATTCTAGTTTGCCGCTGTGTTTCTCTTATTCCTCGTGATACCTCATCATCAGAATATCCTTATTGTCATCATACATATGTGGCTGTGATGGAAGCCACCGCTCGAGAGAAAAACCTGGCTGACTTTGACACCCTTATGTTGTGTCGGGTCTCCCGTGACCCGTTACAAGTTAAAATGATATAATAACTACGCTCTAGTTTTTTGTATCTGAACAAGGCTCCATGATATCCTCCACAACAGCTCTATAAACACTACACAACAGATTTGGACCATTTTAGCCAAGTCTGAAGGTCTCTAAAAAACAAAGTGTATAATTTGGTGTTGGGGTCTGGGGAGACCCCGCAGAATTGTTTTGGGTGACTCAAGGTCAAATTTGGCCCAATCAAGATTCATCTTTGACTTTAGACACCCCCCGGGAACTCGACCTTTCTCAAAGAATATGTACACTGACACTTCAAGGTTCAAGGTTCAAGGTTCTTTATTGTCAAACTGACATAGCTACAGAGTAATTATGTCGTTGAAAATCTTATGTCACAGGCTTCTCCAACAATGCAACATAATAATAATACAGATAGTAAAAGTAATACAAAAAGAAAAATAGTTCTAACACTTGAACCTGAACACACACATGCACGTGTGCAATATGTGGTGTGATGTGTTTGGGGCCATAACATTAAACTACAACAGGATTGTACGGTTATGAATGCATTATAAGTTAGTTGTGTTGTAGTTAAAACAATATTGGATGATAGTTATTTTTTGGGTGTGTTTTGGACTGTTTTTAAATTGACCCGTGAACACCATGAACGGTAACAGCTTTTGAACACAACACAAGGGTTCAAAGATCATGCCAATTACAATTTAATTAGATTTCAAAGCTTCATTTTTAATTGCTTTCATGAAACAAAGCACATATCTGCTCATGCTGCTGCTGCTTGTGTGAAGTTATGAGCTAAAACTGTGAAGAAAAAGCATGTGAATTTATGTTTTAGTTTGATATATGTGTGATGAATACTACCTGTAGTGCATGCTGCATCACTCCTAAGAAGTTCTGTATTTAACTACTTAGTATATATTCTACTTCACGCATTCATGTCACGTCTGCAGGCTGCAAAGGATGAAGATTTGGCTGATTATGAAGATGACTTTGAGGTAATAATAATACATGCTCAAGCTGAGGACTGTAACACATAGTTCAGTTGCTTTTAAGTTCCCCATCTAAGTGTCTTTGTGTTATTTTTGCATGCCGTAATCGTTCAGAAACTGGTGAGTGTTCACACACATTCCTGCAAAGTTTGTGCTTACTTCTTTTGCATATTTGTGACATAAAGGACGTTTGATGTTTGAAGGATTATGAGGAGGATTTCGAGGAGCTGGACGAGAGCCCAGATGAAGAGGAGGAGGAGGAGAAGAAGGAGGGATCAGAGGTTTTAGAAGAGAAGGAGGAACTGACGGCAGAAAGGAGGAAAGAAATCGAGGCGATCCAGAGAGCCATGGACGAGGAAAACCAGAGAGTTCAGTCCAGAGAGATCAGCAGCACCGAGGAGGAGAGGCCCCGATGGTCCAGAGGTTTCTATCTATCTATCCATCTATCCATCTATCCATCTATCTATCCATCTATCCATCTATCCATCTATCCATCTATCCCTCTATCCATCTATCCATCTATCTATCCATCTATCCATCTATCCATCTATCCATCTATCCATCTATCCATCTATCCATCTATCCATCTATCCATCTATCCATCTATCCATCTATCCATCTATCCATCTATCCATCTATCCATCACGGCATATATATATATTGCACATATTACACATAGTTGGTATTTACTAACAAGGGGAAGTCACAGTGTAGCCAGATATTGTCTTCATCCATGTCCTCCTCGCTGCACCTTATCCCTAACATGATGCATCCTTTCTGCTTATTTTACAGGATCAGAAAAGACCCCGAGTGTAGACTCACAGCGCGGGAAGTTTATCGACTTTGTGGCGGCGAAGCAGCGCGAAGTCAGCAAGAAAGTCGCCTCAAAACAGAAGTAAGTTCACTCGCATTGGTGGATATGTAATCTTCTTTCTTAACTACATGTGGTCTTTAAGAATGTATCTCTCGTACCAACAGGAAGCGCAGCACGGAGCTCCTTCGCCTCATTGATCTGGACTTCTCAACGACAGCCTCTCTGTTGGATCTACCTCCTGTGAACGAGTACGACATGTACATCAGAACGTTCGGGACTGCAAACACAAAGCAGGTCAGGAGGATGCATTGTCTTTTACACATTTCAAGACAAGAGACAAGGAAACAGATAGAAACCAGACTATAAAAGAGAAACACCAAATATTCCCTGCAGAGGAAGTTGCTATAGTCCATGTCTGAATAACTTTTCCCTCCTCAGGCGTACGTTCAGTGTAACGAGGACAACGTGGACCGAGACATCCAGACAGAGGAGACGGAAGTCTGTGAGAAATGGACACAACATCCTCCAGAGCACAATGGAGCCTGTGGGGGTGAGAACATACATCTATAATGCTCCTGTAAATTTCACACACATGCATCCATAACTATTGGGAAGAGATTTTGAAGAGAATTGATTAGCGAGCAAAACTGGGCCCTCTTTGAATGGAGGGATCAGATGTTCCTGCACGGCTCTTCACATGCTTTTGGGAACACATGGAGCCCCAGAGGATACATTCCCCCATAGTTCCTGATATAAGTCGAGCACATTGGAGATACATTGGAGATACATTGGAGATACATTGGGGATGCTTTGGAGATACATTGGGGATGCATTGGAGATACATTGGGGATGCATTGGAGATACATTGGGGATGCATTGGAGATACATTGGAGATACATTGGAGATACATTGGAGATACATTGGGGATACATTGGGGATGCATTGGAGATACATTGGAGATACATTGGGGATACATTGGAGATACATTGGAGATACATTGGAGATACATTGGAGATACATTAGAGATACATTAGAGATACATTGGAGATACATTAGAGATACATTAGAGATACATTGGAGATACATTGGGGATGCATTGGAGATACATTGGAGATACATTAGAGATACATTGGAGATACATTGGGGATGCATTGGAGATACATTGGAGATGCATTGGAGATACATTGGAGATACATTGGGGATACATTGGAGATACATTGGAGATACATTGGAGATACATTGGAGATACATTAGAGATACATTAGAGATACATTGGAGATACATTAGAGATACATTAGAGATACATTGGAGATACATTGGGGATGCATTGGAGATACATTGGAGATACATTAGAGATACATTGGAGATACATTGGGGATGCATTGGAGATACATTGGAGATGCATTGGAGATACATTGGAGATACATTGGAGATACATTGGAGATACATTGGGGATACATTGGAGATGCATTGGAGATACATTGGAGATACATTGGGGATGCATTGGAGATACATTAGAGATACATTGGAGATACATTAGAGATACATTGGAGATACATTGGGGATGCATTGGAGATACATTGGAGATGCATTGGAGATACATTGGAGATACATTGGAGATGCATTGGGGATACATTGGAGATGCATTGGAGATACATTGGAGATACATTGGAGATGCATTGGAGATACATTGGAGATACATTAGAGATACATTGGAGATGCATTGGAGATACATTGGAGATACATTGGAGATACATTGGAGATACATTGGAGATACATTGGGGATACATTGGAGATGCATTGGAGATACATTGGAGATACATTGGAGATACATTAGAGATACATTGGGGATGCATTGGAGATACATTGGAGATACATTGGAGATACATTAGAGATACATTGGAGATACATTGGAGATACATTGGAGATACATTGGAGATACATTGGAGATACATTGGAGATACATTGGAGATGCATTGGGGATACATTGGAGATGCATTGGAGATACATTGGAGATACATTGGAGATACATTAGAGATACATTGGGGATGCATTGGAGATACATTGGAGATACATTAGAGATACATTAGAGATACATTGGGGATGCATTGGGGATACATTGGAGATACATTGGAGATACATTAGAGATACATTGGGGATGCATTGGAGATACATTGGAGATACATTAGAGATACATTGGAGATACATTAGAGATACATTGGAGATACATTGGAGATACATTGGGGATACATTGGAGATGCATTGGAGATACATTGGAGATACATTGGGGATGCATTGGAGATACATTAGAGATACATTGGAGATACATTGGGGATGCATTGGAGATACATTAGAGATACATTGGAGATACATTAGAGATACATTGGAGATACATTGGGGATGCATTGGAGATACATTGGAGATGCATTGGAGATACATTGGAGATACATTGGAGATGCATTGGGGATACATTGGAGATGCATTGGAGATACATTGGAGATACATTGGAGATGCATTGGAGATACATTGGAGATACATTAGAGATACATTGGAGATGCATTGGAGATACATTGGAGATACATTGGAGATACATTGGAGATACATTGGAGATACATTGGGGATACATTGGAGATGCATTGGAGATACATTGGAGATACATTGGGGATGCATTGGAGATACATTAGAGATACATTGGAGATACATTAGAGATACATTGGAGATACATTGGGGATGCATTGGAGATACATTGGAGATGCATTGGAGATACATTGGAGATACATTGGAGATGCATTGGGGATACATTGGAGATGCATTGGAGATACATTGGAGATACATTGGGGATGCATTGGAGATACATTGGAGATACATTAGAGATACATTGGAGATACATTAGAGATACATTGGAGATACATTGGGGATGCATTGGAGATACATTGGAGATGCATTGGAGATACATTGGAGATACATTGGAGATACATTGGGGATACATTGGAGATACATTAGAGATACATTGGAGATACATTGGAGATACATTGGAGATACATTGGAGATACATTGGAGATACATTGGAGATACATTGGGGATACATTGGAGATACATTGGAGATACATTGGAGATACATTGGGGATACATTAGCCGCGTTCACACCGGAGTACTTTCACCGTACTTTTCGCGTTTTAGTTCCGTGAGTCGCGTTCACACCCAAAAATCGTACTTAATCTCGGGTACTTTTACCCCCATTTTTAGAGCCAACTCAGAGAGCGTACTTTTCTGTGGGTGAAAAGTTCTCCAAAAGTGCCCCAGTGCTGATTGGCTGGGCGAATTGCAAACCACGCCCGTACAACTCTGAAAATGTTGTGTAGAGCCGCCATTGTTTTTCCTCGCTACAAAAACACAACGCTCCGTGCGTTGTGTTTGTTTTTGAAAGCAGTTATGGCAAGCATCAAGAAATGATGAGGAGGTGTCGGCGCTTCTGGAGATCTACGCAGAGGACGCGACCCAGGGAATGCACTGAAGCCAGTTCAGTAGCTTTCACTCGACCTGGGAATGTGCACAGCCCCACGGCACACCGGCTAAAAATAAAGAAACTCGGGCAGGACTACAAACGGCGGATTCAGTGGCCAACGATGACGACCACGACGAAGGTAAAATCAACTACATGCACTGGGGTTTTAATCTGCACAATAATGGTCTCAGATGTACTTTTATTTGCTCAGTAGATCAAGCTAGCCATGCTAGCCATAATAGGCTAACACCGGCCCCGAGCACACAGTACACACACACTGTAACTTTGTCTTGAAAGAACGTTACGCATCGAACTGATGTTCACAATCATGTTTATTTCATAATATTCATCATATTTTATGTTTAACTTGCCTCAACAACATTAAACAAAGTTCAAGCATACATGAAGCACTCTTCAAAAAGGAACAATCCTCCGTGTTTGAACCTCTTGAATCGCTGCATAGCCGATTTATTTGGACTGGATTATCCCAGAGAGGCCAAACATTCTTTATAACACAGTTTCAGATTTGTGAAACCTTAATTCTATTTGTGAAAATAAAAAAAAAGGGAGATTTCAGTGCTTTTTTTACATGTAGACCACATTAGACCAGGTCCTGATCTAAAACCACTATACCTACTCATCAAATCTGGACTGGATTATCCCAGAGAGTCAAAAGATTCTTTATAACACAGTTTCAGATTTGTGAAACCTTAATTCTATTTGTGAAAATACAAAAAATACATTCCTAGTATGTTGTAAAACTACATGGCGACTAAACAGATCTTGTATATTGCTTATTTTCCCCTCTTAGGAAAGCGGACACGGGATGCGAATTTCTTTGACACCGCCCAGGCGTTGGAGGACCGGCGTGCCGTGGTGAATGAGTCGCTGCGTGGAGATCAGATGGTGCTGTTCACCAAGGCCCAGGAAACGGAGGACAAGATGCTCACCTCGATGGAGCGCCAGGCAGAAGTGTTAAAGCAGCAGATGGAGCGCCAGCAGCACCAGGATGAAGTGTGGGCGCTGCGCCATGAGGAAGCGTCGGCGCAGCGGCAGGATGAGCAACAAACTGCATTTAATAACAGTTTATTTGGTATAGTTTTTGTAAATACTGACACACGACACACAACGTTGCACTAAGGTGTGCATGCTGCTGAGAATATCCCTACACCTGGGACAGTTTATTTTATATTGTTATTACTGTTATGACTTTATTTTATATATAATGTTTACTGACATGTACAACTGACACTTTATTTACATTTAAAATTGTTCTATTTAATGTTATGTCTTGAGAGTGCAATAAAGAAAACCGACATGGCGATTAAGCTTATTTCTCCTGACACTTTATCTTTTGTGACCTGTGTAGCATCCTATACATCACATGCAAGTGATTATTCTGATACCATCATGTTTCATCGGTTATAAACTGGCAAAGCTTTATTTGTCATTTATTTATCATCAATGTTGCAACCTTGTGGGGGAATGGCATACACAAATATGACAATTTATATCATTTTAAATATTATTTGACCTAAACTTTTAATTCCCCCCCATTTCACACAACACAACATGGAGTCCACTATGGGCCAAAACTAACATGTATGTTTGCATAGTGTTTATGGCAGACGGATGCAGTGGGTCTCAGGAAGATATATAATAAAGGTGGGTTTGCTGCTGAGACTCCCTACAGCTGGGAGTTTATTTTATATTGTTATTACTGTTATTATATAGTACAACTGACACTTTATTTTATATTGACAATGTTTACTGACATGTACAACTGACACTTTAGTTACATTTAAAATATTTCTATTTAATGTTATGTCTTGAGAGTGCAATAAAGAAAACCGACATGGCGATTAAACAGATCCTGTATCAGTTTTTCTTCTGCTCTTGTTTTGTAGCGGGTTGCAAACAACTTTAAGGTGCTTACCGCCACCTACTGTACTTGTAATCTTCCCTCAGGGAAAAGTACTCCGGTGTGAACGCGATCTGTACTAAGTACCCTGGGGTTAAAAGCGCCAGGGCTCTTAGTGCCGGAACTAAGTACAGGAAAGTACTTGGTGTGAACGCGGCTATTGGGGATACATTGGAGATACATTGGAGATACATTGGAGATACATTGGGGATACATTGGGGATACATTGGAGATACATTGGAGATACATTGGGGATACATTGGGGATACATTGGAGATACATTGGAGATACATTGGAGATACATTGGGGATACATTGGGGATACATTGGAGATACATTGGGGATACATTGGAGATACATTGGAGATACATTGGGGATACATTGGAGATACATTGGAGATACATTGGGGATACATTGGGGATACATTGGAGATACATTGGAGATACATTGGAGATACATTGGGGATACATTGGAGATACATTGGGGATACATTGGGGATACATTGGAGATACATTGGAGATACATTGGGGATACATTGGAGATACATTGGGGATACATTGGAGATACATTGGAGATACATTGGAGATACATTGGGGATACATTGGAGATACATTGGAGATACATTGGGGATACATTGGAGATACATTGGAGATACATTGGGGATACATTGGGGATACATTGGGGATACATTGGAGATACATTGGGGATACATTGGAGATACATTGGGGATACATTGGAGATACATTGGAGATACATTAGAGATACATTGGAGATACATTGGAGATACATTGGGGATACATTAGAGATACATTAGAGATACATTGGGGATACATTGGAGATACATTGGAGATACATTGGGGATACATTAGAGATACATTGGGGATACATTGGAGATACATTGGAGATACATTGGAGATACATTGGGGATACATTGGAGATACATTGGGGATACATTGGAGATACATTGGAGATACATTGGGGATACATTGGAGATACATTGGAGATACATTGGGGATACATTGGGGATACATTGGAGATACATTGGAGATACATTGGGGATACATTGGAGATACATTGGAGATACATTGGGGATACATTGGGGATACATTGGAGATACATTGGAGATACATTGGGGATACATTGGAGATACACAGAGATACATTGGAGATACATAGAGATACATTGGGGATACATTGGAGATACATTGGAGATGCTGTTTTGCCTTTTTTGTGTGTGTTCATTCTTCCTTTCTGCACGGCTTTAGTTACGTTCGTGTTCAGCAATATTTCTGATCAAAAATCTTTTGATTGCGTTTCGACATTGCATTAGAGATGGAAAGCAAAGTATACGCATACAAATGAGACGGTGGTCTGTACTGATTGTATGTACAAAGAGAAAGAAGAATTACAAAGAACACAAACAAACAATAACAACGACTATTCAGCAATATTTCAAGTTGCTTTCCAATTGTCTCTTACAGTGAACGTTAGGGGGTCAAACTCAAGGCCCGGGGGCCAAATCCGGTCCGTGACTTCATTTGATGCGGCCCCACAAGAGCCTGCAAAGATGTTTATTATACGGTTACAGGCCGCTTTATAGAAGCACGTTGCCCATAAACTACATGTCCCACAATGCATCTCAAATTTGACTTTTTTCTCAGAATGTTACTTTTTTTTCAAAATTTAATTTATTTTTTTTGATTTTGACTTTTTTTCCAGAATTTGAATTTTCTTTTTAAATCATTTTGTGACATTCTCACTGAAGAGACTTGCAATTATTTGCCCCAGAATTCTGCATTCAGACGTAGTTAATTATGAAGTTATTACCCTATCCCATAATCATCCAATGCAGAGGCAGTAATGTCATATAATACATTATTTTATATATGTTATATATTTATTTATGTAGTTTTATATAGTCTTATATATAAAACTGGCCCTTTGAGTGCAACCATGATGCTAATGTGGCCCGAGATGAAATTGAGTTTGACACCCCTACTCTAATTGAACAAAACATAACAAATCTCTAATAAACAAAGTGTAAACATGTCAACAACTGTTTGTTTTCACAGATCCCAACCTCTCCAGAGAAGCTCAGGACAAAAGTAAAATGAGTTTTGACTCTCGGCGTCTCACAGCGTTTCTGCGCTCGGCCTCTCAGGTCTTTTTATAAACACTAAAAAAAAGACTTCCTGTGTAGAAATGAAAACCTAAATTAAACGTCTGTTATCTTAATATCTGTACCCAGGTGATGGTGGTGCTGCTGGAGGAGCATCGGGCTGACAGGAAGTCCCTGGAGAAGATGAAATCTCCGACAGATTCAACGTCTTTCAGCGACGGGAGTTTACTGCTCAACACCAAGCTGCCTTTTCTCTACGGTACGCACAGTAACCAGACGAATAACTATTACTGCACAGGTCAATCATTGTTGTTGTTGCTACCTGGGAATTGAAAAGAAAAGTGGTTTAAAGGTCAAAGATGGGGACAACAGGGTCAAATGTGTTGTCTGGGGCTGCGTCTCACTTCGGTTATTTCTCATCTCCTCGCTCCTCGGGCTCGGTATCACCGGAAGTTGATTTGCCATCCTGAGTAGCGTCCCAGTGGCCTTATTTGTGCCGGAGGACCGAGGATCGAGGAGTGATAACGGAGGAGCGATAATCGAGGAACTACCAGACCATCCTCCGGTGAAATCCTCAGCCACTCGCCCCGCCCCCTTACTGTGTATCGCTCACTGATTGGACGATGCAGCGCTTGCACTGATCTGGCTGCTGTCAGACGATCAGCTGTGCGGCGTCATCACACACGGACGTTGCTTCACGTGGTTTCCTTGCGTCTCTCCATGCTTCCCCGGTGGGAGGGACTAGTCGCAGAGAAACGACGCAAGTGAGGGACGCAAGGAATCCATTTAACCCGAAGTGAGATGGAGCTTAAGGATGCAAAGAGAAGGATGAAAGGAATATAAAAAGGTTAGAAAAGTGTCAAGAGAACTATAATTTCACAGGAAGACTAGGGGTAGAGGAATGTGAGAGTTTGGTGAGGGGTCTTGAACAAATATCTGGAACAAACTCCCAGAAACCTGCAGGTCCGCTGCCACTCTGACTACTTTTAAATCCAGGCTGAAGACTTTCTTTTTGCCGCTGCTTTTAATTGAACTCTTCACATCTCACACTGCACTTTGAATTGCCTTGTGTTGAAAGGTGCTATATAAATAAACTTGCCTTGCCTTGTAAACCCCTTTTAATTGGGCAGTATGTCCTGTTTTCATGCACTTTTCCCCACACATTGCTCCATGTTTTGTTTGTCGTTTGCAGGTCGCAGCGTCAGCCTGCTGCACTTCTCTCCGGCGCAGAAACACACCGTGATGTCCGTCCACCGCCCGACGGAAACACCCAGCGCCGTGAGGCTGGACAGCTGCTCCATCATCTGCATCTGGAACATCTGGGAGCCGTCCTCCCCTCAGAGAGTCCTCATCTACGAGTCTGAGGTGAGACACACACACACACACACACACACACACACACACACACACACACACACACACACACACACACACACACACACACACACACACACACACACACACTCTCTGACAGTAGTCTGCTCTCTGCTGCAGGTGCAGTGTTGCTGCTTCAGTCCTGGGAAAGCCGTGCTGGTGTTTGCAGGAACGTCAGTGGGTTCAGTGCTGCTGTGGGACCTGAGGGAGAACACTGAGGATCATTACAGTCTGAAGATCGGGGAGGAGGAGTGGACCTTCAGACAGCCCACCTTCTCCACTGGTACTGTCTCCCACACATTATTAAAGTCTCCCACTTGTTAAAGGTCACCTATTCTTCTTCATGTCTCTTCTACATCAACATGTGTCCCCTCTTCTTCATGTCTCTTCTACATCAACATCTGTCCCCTCTTCTTCATGTCTCTTCTACATCAACATGTGTCCCCTCTTCTTCATGTCTCTTCCACATCAACATGTGTCCCCTCTTCTTCATGTCTCTTCTACATCAACATGTGTCCCCTCTTCTTCATGTCTCTTCTACATCAACATGTGTCCCCTCTTCTTCATGTCTCTTCTTCATCAACACGTGTCCCCTCTTCTTCATGTCTCTTCTACATCAACATCTGTCCCCTCTTCTTCATGTCTCTTCTACATCAACATGTGTCCCCTCTTCTTCATGTCTCTTCTACATCAACATGTGTCCCCTCTTCTTCATGTCTCTTCTACATCAACATGTGTCCCCTCTTCTTCATGTCTCTTCCACATCAACATGTGTCCCCTCTTCTTCATGTCTCTTCTTCATCAACATGTGTCCCCTCTTCTTCATGTCTCTTCTACATCAACATGTGTCCCCTCTTCTCCATGTCTCTTCCACATCAACATGTGTCCCCTCTTCTTCATGTCTCTTCTACATCACCATGTGTCCCCTCTTCTTCATGTCTCTTCTTCATCAACATGTGTCCCCTCTTCTTCATGTCTCTTCTTCATCAACATGTGTCCCCTCTTCTTCATGTCTCTTCTACATCAACATGTGTCCCCTCTTCTTCATGTCTCTTCTTCATCAACATGTGTCCCCTCTTCTTCATGTCTCTTCTACATCACCATGTGTCCCCTCTTCTTCATGTCTCTTCTACATCAACATGTGTCCCCTCTTCTTCATGTCTCTTCTTCATCAACATGTGTCCCCTCTTCTTCATGTCTCTTCTACATCAACATGTGTCCCCTCTTCTTCATGTCTCTTCTTCATCAACATGTGTCCCCTCTTCTTCATGTCTCTTCTACATCAACATGTGTCCCCTCTTCTTCATGTCTCTTCTTCATCAACATGTGTCCCCTCTTCTTCATGTCTCTTCTTCATCAGCATGTGTCCCCTCTTCTTCATGTCTCTTCTTCATCAACATGTGTCCCCTCTTCTTCATGTCTCTTCTACATCAACATGTGTCCCCTCTTCTTCATGTCTCCTCTTCATCAACATGTGTCCCCTCTTCTTCATGTCTCTTCTTCATCAACATGTGTCCCCTCTTCTTCATGTCTCTTCTACATCAACATGTGTCCCCTCTTCTTCATGTCTCTTCTACATCAACATGTGTCCCCTCTTCTTCATGTCTCTTCTTCATCAACATGTGTCCCCTCTTCTTCATGTCTCTTCTTCATCAACATGTGTCCCCTCTTCTTCATGTCTCTTCCACATCAACATGTGTCCCCTCTTCTTCATGTCTCTTCTACATCAACATGTGTCCCCTCTTCTTCATGTCTCTTCTTCATCAACATGTGTCCCCTCTTCTTCATGTCTCTTCTTCATCAACATGTGTCCCCTCTGTGTAAAGAGACTCTGAAAGTTTCAGGAACAAAGATTCTCTCTCTTTTTGATCCATTTATATAAAAACCTGTCTGAAAACGAGCTGATCAGATTTTGGCCACTTTATGATGTCATAACGATGTTTTGTCTTGTGTAACCATTAGCCAATCAGCAACCAAGGTAACCCCCCCCCTCCACCTTATCACCTGAATCTCCTCCTAGAGCACCATTGAGTTCTTTTTAACCAAATCTCTCTCAGAGGGGCGTGGGGAGGGGCTCCTTATTTTCATCTAAAGTAACAGACAAAGAATCAGCACTTTAGAAACAGGGCTGAAACAGAGGGGATTATGGGTAATGCTGCAATGATCTGTTTGGTGTTTCAGCCAATCAGAGACAGGCTCTGTATATATCTGAGACCTGTGATATATTGATGAAGAACAGTATCATAGGGGACCTTTAAAATCGTATTTGATTCAGTGCTTTTGTCTCCGTGTCCAAACAGACGCAGTGATGTCCGGCTCGGGACATTTCTCCTCCGTGACGTCCGTAGAAGTCGTCCCTTCCTCTTCTTCCTCAGACGTCCCCCTGCTGGCATCTGAGGAAGGTACGTCAATAACTCAGGGTTATTAGCACACTGATTTAAGGTGTGGTGCATTGTTTTATAAAGGTGTTCTCAGGTGTATTCATTGTTTTTTCTGTTTCATGATCCAGAGTCGTCAGGACTGTCGTTCCAACTCGCCTCTCTGGATGAAGTCGGGGTTTTAAACTTCTGGGTGAGTTGGAAAACACATTAGATTCCGTATATATTTGTATATAGGTTTTCAAACTGTGTGAGAGTTTAAGGGGGGATCCTGGTGAGGGGGAAAGGACCGTGCACATATGTTAGATCCAGCGTGACTTCCCAAGGATATCACTATCTCCAATTTTATGCAATTAAATCTGCATAAAAATCATTAAATATAAGATTTTCTGCAGAATCAAAGACGTCCATTAATAGTTCTGTACACCCAGTTGTAAGAGGCAAACAGAAACTGCTGATAGGTCATTCGTCCTACTATTAATAGTGCTAATTTGTGGAAATGTAATCAAATACAGGCCAAAAAAAGCTCCTAGCTAAATATATTTACTGAAACATTATCCTCTGTGTTTACATCTACTGAAACACCTGGAGAATGTAGTGTGAAAATCTGAATTAAATATAAATACATGCTAACTTAGCAGCTTCACAGTCTCGCCTTTACTGTATATACAGATATTGAAATAGTTCTTAATGCCCTGATATAATCGCATGTTCCCCCTGTGTGTCCTGCAGGTGGTGCTGGAGCTCCCTAAAGCCAATGAGGCCGGCTCTCCAACAGATTTAGGTAAGGAGGGTCAGGTAATAGAGCCCCCCCCCCCCAGTATAAATATGCCTTTTATAGGTATGGTCCTACACTATATTATTCAAATATAGCATGATAGGTCCACTTTAAGTAAAGCGCCATGCACACATATTAAACATCTAAAAAAACAAGTAGAAAGTAATGAAGTATAGCTGCAGGGTGACGGGATTAATTATTACTAGTATATATGTATATATTGCACAGTGTTATATTACAGGTGTTGGATGAATAAGAAGCCAGTAGGAGAATCTTTAACATGGTTTTTATATTGCACAAAATATGTGTTGTTGGATGTTTGCTAACTTCCTGTCGGAGGGTTTAATGACTTTTCCACTAATTGGTTTGGAACAGCATTTAATGCCCAAACTGATTGGAAATGGGGGGTTAGGATGTAGGGGTTGGTTTGGAATTGGGCCATCTTTTTTTTTAATATATATATTTTTTTTTAAACATGTATTTTTTTTTTACATTTATCACATTACACAAACACAACCGAACATTCCCCAAAATTAGACATATGGCAGATTACAAAATAATGCAAAATAAATAAATGAAATAAAATAAAAAGTGCACAGTTACTAGAAATCAGTTTAAAGTACAGTCCAAGAATATAATTACATTTTCAAATTAACAAATTCAACAAAAATACAGTAAAAACACATCCACAAACAGAGCAGAGTACAGCTTACAATTCTCCAAATAGATTACATTGGGCTATCTCCAACATGTTGCACCAGCTTCATCTCTCTCTCTCTCTCTCACTCTCTCTCTCTCTCTCTCTCTCTCTATATCTCTCTCTCTCTCTCTCTCTCTCTCTCTCTCTCTCTCTCTCTCTCTCTCTCTCTCTCTCTCTCTCTCTCTCTCTCTCTCTCTCTCTCTCTCTCCTGCAGGTCTGAGGCCAGGTGGTAAAGTGAAGTTGCTCCACAGCTCCGTGCTGCTCACTGCTGAGAGGTGAGATTGATAAACAGCCTGAGATGATCAAAATAACCCCTCAGTGTCTCTCACAGCGGAAACCAGCTGCTCTGCCGTGTTTTCGTCACCACAACATCTGATGGACGCATATCTGAGATGCAGTGTCATGTTCCACTGTACGCTGCTCGGTTTGTTTTTGGCCCAGCATGTGGTAACCTTTGACCTCTGCTTTTGGCATGTTTCCCTCCTCTCAGGGAGTCACAAAGAGATGCAGCGAAAACAGGACCGCTGCAGACTCTTAATTTGAAATTCCTCCCGACAGACTCTAATCATTTCTTTATCGGCACCAATATGGTAAGCAGGATTTTGGAAAACATCCAACCAAATGCTCTTTTGTGTCATTATTATTATGTATTTATTTCAACAAGGAACATGAATACAAATACATTAATCTCAGAAAAGAGAAGATATTAATTATGCCAGATGTTAGCTAATAGCTCATTTCCATCGACAGTCCTTAGGCAGGTACACAACAATCAACAAACACTACAAACATTGCATCATCTCTATCACACAAACAATTATAAAACATGATTTAAGTTCAGGTCAATAAGATAACACATAGAGCAGTTAAAATATAATATTACAATACAGTTAATATGGAAAAACTCAGATGACAGTGTAATTCATGTTGGCATGACTGGTTGCTTAATATCAATGTGTTTGCACCATAAGAGAATGACTTCAAGTCAGTACAGGTTTTAAGTTCAACTGCTAGAATATTCCAGTGTTAATGTTCTGATGTGACGTTAATACCCTTTATTCCCAGGGTTTGGTTAATCATGAAACGAGTCACGGTCTGAAGGTTCCTCCGAGGTTTTACAGGTTTCAGGAGGCAGGAGTCCAACCTGTCGACGTCACCTCGATCCACTTCTCTCCCTTCAGGAAACACCTGTTCTTGGTGAGAGCGCATATCACTGATATTAAAGGAAATTTAGTTTTCCCCAAATAAGGAAATGATATTGTTTTGCCCCCATAGAGATAGGAAAAACACTACAGGTCAACACGTTTTTAATTCAATTAAAATGTATATAGCCCAATAACACAAAACATATCTGAGAAAATAGTAAAATGACAAGATGAATGCTGTGCCAATGAGCATTTTCAAATTCCCCCAGTATAAATACAGTATTTCTGATTTTAATTAACTCCCTTTATCCCAGGTGGGTTGTGGAGACGGCAGCATCCGGCTTCATGCAGTGAGTCAGCAGCATCCTGTGTCAGAGTGGAGGAACAGTACCTCTGGAGAACCAGTGATTTCACTACAGTGGAACCAAACCAGACCCTCAGTGTTCTGCGTTCTGGACGGAGCCTCAAACCTCCACATATGGGACCTGTTGAGAAACGACACCCAGCCTGTGGTGACGGAGAAGCTGCACTCTGACAGGTAACACCATCAGGAAGAGGGATGAGGGATCGTTTTCCTCATTTCTTGTATCGATGTGTGTTAGAAAAATCTCACTGGTCTCCGGCTTGAGCTTCAATCTCAGGATCCATGTATTTGTGATCCTCTCCAGAATGGAAGTAGTCATCACATCCAGAGCATCAACTAGTTCCTGAACAGTGTCCTTCACATGCTGATATCCAAGAGAGGGAGTTACACAGTCACAAGATGGAGGAATAGAAAGCAGTATTCAATGTTTACTTCAGATTAGCTCCACGTCAGAAATGAGCATGCTTGTCATATGTCTATCTCCATAGAGGCTGAATCATCATGTTAATCACATAGCTATCATATGCCTCAAACAGTCCTGATGCTCTTCTAGGTAATCATACATCCTGTCATGTACACAGTACAGTTGGGGTACCTTTGTTATCATGTTCACTTATAGTGAGTACATTCACTATTTTCCCAACAATGTGTGTACATAAATGTTCTCCTCTCTTCTCAGGGTGACGGCCATGTCTGTGTTCGGAGACTCGGGACAACAACACACATATTCAGGAGTAGCTCTGGCTCACGAGTCAGGAAAGATAGAAATGCAGTATTTTACGAGAAGTTTGACGGTGTCCAGTTCTGAAGAAGAGGAGAAGCTGGAGAGTTTAGTGACTGAAGCCTTTTGAAGCACTTAAATGTAAAACTCTGGACATGCATCTTATTAATCTGTTTTTGTTAAATTTCCTCCTAAATAATTTCACATACGGATTAGAAGAATGTAGCTGAATACCAAATATCTTATTATTTAATATCCTTCAATAGGCCTATGTGAAACCTTTATTATGTTGGTGTAAATATTTCTACTGTTAAATAAATATAACATTTGTATGGATTAACAACTTTACTTTTTATACAATAAACTCATACTGTCTGTAGTTTGTGTTTTTTTTATTTAGATCTGTTTTTTGTGTGGAAAGTGTCAATTTAAAAGCTGATCATCTAAGCTAACCCGGTTAGCATCCGTCTGGCTAGACAAAAAGCTAATGGGGTTTTGCCGTTGGATTTCACTATATTGCAGAAAATCATTAGTAAATTAAAGTCCTAAAGAGTGGGTACAGCCCTGTGGTCAATTACAGGTACTTAGATACTCATAAAAACTCTTATTGATCTAATTCTTTAAACAATATGAGAAACTAACTGCTCATATTTTCTGCCACCATATAGTTTTGGGACGTGTTGCCAATGGATGTAGCCTAGCAACCCGTCGCCTAGCAACAGAGAGGTAGCCCCTGGGAGGTCAGAAAACGAACTTTTTCTCAAAGCAGGTATGCTAACTTTATTCATAGTTTTTTTTTTAGCATAATTCACTTAGATCACAGACTTTGTGCTGTTTGCTGAAAGGTAAACACACATTTTGACGTTTTTCCAACTTATAAACTGTTACCAAACGCTATAAATATGTAACTTTATGGACTAACAACAAACTGATTTGAGCTCATATTAGCCTTTAGCTTTACAGTAGCTAAAATGTAGGATGATTTTATTTGTTATTGTGATTTAAACCCATGTTTTGTATTCCACTTTTTACTTCGTGTATCTATCATCTCTGCCTGTAAATAGCATTTATTTCACCCTGATTTCCAAACAATATGTATGTTCTTTTAATAAAATAGTTTGAACATTATTGATAAAAGAAAATGGGAATAAAAAAATGGTCCCCCCATGTTTTTCCATGTTATCCACACACAAAATCAACAGTTATTGATATAAAATGTGATTATTTTAAAGTCTGCCTCCAACACAACAGAGATTTTTGTCACATAAGTCCCAAAAAACATTATTTGCAGGAATCCTGTAAGAAAAATGATGGAGACAAGAACAACAACAGACCTCGTCCCCCATCACACCCTGATTTTCCAAGAGAATGGGACACAAAATATGAGGACGCAAAATACAAGCAAGGTAGACCATGATGTCACCATGATGCATACGGACTTTCAGACACCTTATACATGCTTCCTCTTTCTCTGTCTCCAGGTGAAACCCCCTAAAGTCCAGCATCATGTGTTCACTCACGGTCTCCAGCGCCTGCATCATTTTCCTTTTGAGAGCCCGGTGCGTTTCATGATGTTCTCTGAAGCTTCATCTGCCTTCATCTGCCTCCACTCAGACAACACAGCCAGCATCTACCACAGGTGGGAAGTAGTGGAGTACTTTGTTACTGTACTTAAGTTCATGTTTCTGGTATCAGTACTTTACTCCACTACTTATTTTTCTGACGACTTTTTACTTTCTACTTCTTACATGTTGAACACAAATACCTGTACTTTCTACTTCTTACATGTTGAACACAAATACCTGTACTTTCTACTTCTTACATGTTGAACCCAAAATACCTGTACTTTCTACTTCTTACATGTTGAACGACAAATACTGTACTTTCTACTTCTTACATGTTGAACACAAATACCTGTACTTTCTACTTCTTACATGTTGAACCCAAATACCTGTACTTTTTCTACTTCTTACATGTTGAACACAAATACCTGTACTTTCTACTTCTTACATGTTGAACACAATACCTGTACTTTCTACTTCTTACATGTTGAACACAAATACCTGTACTTTCTACTTCTTACATGTTGAAACCCAAATACCTGTACTTTCTACTTCTTACATGTTGAACACAAATACCTGTACTTTCTACTTCTTACATGTTGAACACAAATACCTGTACTTTCTACTTCTTACATGTTGAACACAAATACCTGTACTTTCTACTTCTGACATGTTGAACACAATACCTGTACTTTCTACTTCTTACATGTTGAACACAAATACCTGTACTTTCTACTTCTTACATGTTGAACCAAATACCTGTACTTTCTACTTCTTACATGTTGAACCCAAATACCTGTACTTTCTACTTCTCTCATTTCCAAACAGGCTGGTTCCTTTAGTTTGAATGTGTGTTTGGTGGCGGTATCATTATTATTTAGAGTCATTGCGTGCCTATTGATTTGAACACGATCCGTGTATCCATCATTTCCTGGTCTTCTCTAAAGAAGAGGGACCAATGAAAACGTTGTCCATGTTGCCGTTGTTCAGCATGGAAACATTCATTAGCTAACAATGACATTATTGTTCTATTAATATAAAGGGAGGTCAGGTACTCTTTAAAACAGCTGCTAGTTATGGGTACTTTTTAACTGAAGTACATTTCAAAGCCTCTTTACTTTTACTTGAGTTAAGAAGTTTAATCAGTACTT